AATTATTAATCACTACTCCGATATATTTTTTAAAATGATTTCATAATAAATTATTGTTTAATTTTTGAATTCTATATTTATATTTGCATCACTCTAGGTTAATAGGTTAATAGCATATTTTTTTTTTTAGAGGGGTGGAGTGGAGTGTAAATGGTCATGGTATATATCTATGTATATCATTTTTTTATTAATAATAGTTTAAAGCTAACGAATCACTTAAAAATGAACTTGTACGAACGCAATGCGCGTGTTTATTTATAAACTACTAACAAGTGGAATTGTCTATTCACATTACACGAAACGATGAAAAATTATGGGTTTTAATAAACTGTAAATATTGTGAATTTCCAACCGTGAATACATGTAAATAGTTTGTAGGTAGAGCTCTTAAGATACACTTACGTTATAGTAATCCAGATGATATGTACGCCTGGGATTCGGGGTTGTTTTAATCTCGTACTCCGGGCAAACGGAATCGTTAATAATTACAGACCATACACGAATGCCGTTAGAAAAGCTTGGTAACTTTACGTCATCACAAACGCAATATATTTTCATCAAACCATAAACTACCGTTGTTTCGGTGAAATTCAGCAGAAAGGTTATATTTTTGTCTAAAAAACAAAACAACTTTGAGGTAATTTAGTGTTCACACGTTTGTACGGAAACTCTACTTCGTGTGGTAAACTGTAATGTAATAGAGTTTATGTATTTTACTAACTATTTTGTTTTAGACGCGCCGAAAAGAGGCTCGGTGAGGTTGAACGGCAAAGAGTGAGTTGTGAAAATGATGATATCAAGAAAAAAACGATTGTAAACTGGTTGGAAGTAGTTACATATTTTATATTTGAAACGGCAATCGGGATATATTATTACATGTAGAACAACAAAAACGAACGTAATATTATTGCCGGTAACATAATTCTCGACTAAAAAAAAAAAAAATGCAGATTAGATACCTATAATATATTTATGTTATTTGATTATTAACAATAATAATTAAACTGACTGTATTAATCATAAGTAGTACATGCAGATACTATTTTATTAATATTTATCAGTAGTTTGGTTAAACAATAGCGAATAAAGATGAATTCTATAAATTAATTAAAAAAAAAGTGTCCTACAAGAACAAGTTATGTATTGGCTAAAAAAAAAAAAATGCTCGTTAATTGGTCCCCTGTATCCAATGGATACACTGTTGTGCGTCATGTTTGAAAAAACGTAGGTGCCTGTTATGATTATTTAATAGTATAACATTAATGGTTAATAATTTGTTGCTGATAAATAAAGTATGATACTTTTTCGTTCGTGTTTAGGTTGTGCTATATTTATCCTTCATTTGTTTTGTATAATCGGTTATCCAATTCACGACTTATCTTATAAGTAAGTATGATTATTATTTTTGCTATTTAAATTAATAGTGATTTTTTACCATTATCTGATGGAGTAATAAATACATTATCTGAGCTCAATATTATTGTCCAATTATTATATTTTAGCCTAATAAATGAAAAATATGACCAATTTCAGATTGAAATCGAATAAAAATCAGTTATTTCCTAAGGAAATATCTTATTTAGAACATGATGGTACTTCCGAACATAATTTGGATAAATTAATGCAGACTATATCAAAGGATTTATCCCCTGGTCAAAAGAATTCCTCCACGTTAGACAATATGTCGTGTTGGATAAATAATGTTTATTTCATAGCTAATTTCAATGCATCTGTAGTTAAAGTGGGTGAACCGTCATCCAGAGAAGATTTAGAGACCAATAAAAATAAGAAGTCACAAATTAAAACCAGCAAAACAAGTGAATGTAGTACTTCTGAAGTTGATCCCACTAAAATTAGAATGGCAGAATATTTTGATAAAGCTGGAAACACTGGGAAGTCAACATTTATTTTAAACCATTCTACAACAATGCAAACTACTGAAAATAATTTAGAAATTACTTATCATTATCCTTCTAAAACTAAAGTATAATTCATTATATTTTAATATTTTTTTTTTTATCAAATATACACAAAAAAGTAACATTAGTTTTTACTATATTATTTATGATTGAAATTTTTTACATTAATACATTAGTTAATTTTTGATATAGGTAAATCATTTAAAAAAAAAAAAATAAAAATAATTATTTGTTTATATTATTACTTAAAACAATTTCGCAAATAGTTTTATATTTTTGTATTTTGATTTTGAAATTATTTTATCAATTTTTGTTCATAATATTTAAATTTAAGTAAAAAAAATTGAAATTTTAAATCAATCGAGCTATAAATGTGTATTTAACTAGAGTATTCTAAAGTAACTTAATGTATTACATGTATCTGATTACAAAGCAAGTCTAAATATGTTCAAAAATAATAACATTTAAATATTTACAATAAATATAAACAATGAATATATTATTATTACAAATAACTTCAAATCGTTATTTTATTAAAATAATATATAAAATATATATAGTGTAATATTTTTGATAATTTCAAGTTTCGTAATATTATTGAATTTGATAGTTTTATTACTTGTAATTTATATATTATTTACTTGGCTGATTATTTTGTTGTATAATATGGGCGAGTAACTAGAGAACATTACTAATACTTTGTCTTAGAAAGACTTGTAGAAATATCAGATTAAATCTCACGGTTTATTCTTTTATTTAAATGTTATATTACTGTGCATTATATTATAGTTATGCATTACAATTGCAGTAGATGCAAATAATTGTGAAATGAACGATCGTTTGAACACAGATGCGTTAAAATCAACAATTTTGTATGCAGATTTTAAAATCTAGAGCAGCGTAATAGGTAAATGAGATAAAACTAAAATTAAATTGTGTGTCAATATTTAAAATGACAAATATACGGTTAAATTAACAAATGGTACGTTTGTTTAATTCTAAAATTGTACAAATAAAATCTATAGACAATGTAAATATTCTTCATGACACTCATAATATATTACTAAATTTACATAGTAAATCATAGTGTGTAGTTATTTAGCTAAAGCTAGATTAAAACAATCTTTTGTATATTAAAATGGTAATTTTATCAAAGACTAGAATATTTTTAATATCTAAGTACATTGTTTGAATTATAAAATTGATTTTTAAGACGGCTGCAGATAGTGAGACAGTGTTAATACTGCAAATTATGTGTTAATTCGTATTCATACGATTAATGAAACGAATTTGTCTATACATTTTATTTTTTCAATAAAATTAAAAGACACAATTTCAAAAGTTGGGTTGGATGTATTGCATTATATAATATAAATATAATTATAATTCTATAATAGCGAAATTTGTATTTATTTTTATGTTATTATCATACCATATAAAAAAACTTTCACTTTAAATAATTTTAAGTAAATATAAAATATTATGTACTTACTCATTTTACAATTTTATATAGTATGCAATGCTACTCGTATATTCATAAAATAATAGAATAATTTTGTTTTAGGTGCATAGATATCAATTATTTCAAAAATATTTAAGATTCTTTCTATCAACTTTAATATTCATGTAGGGAGAGTATAATTTTTTTAACCATTAAAAAAACGTTGTATTGAAAACTATTAAAATATCTAGAATTTTGGTAAATTTATTCATGTACGAGTATCCCTAACATTTTTTTAATATATATATATTTCGTAAATTCTTGTATTTGTTAGTGGAGCCACTTCTATTTTTTAATTTCATGACTTTAATATGAATATAAAATAGTAAAAATGTCAATTTCTCAGATAATAAATAAATAGGTACTTGTTTATTAATAAATAATTTAAGTGCATATGAATAAAATAGAGAAGCAAGGACAACCTTAAAGATCCATAGTTCATTAATCTTCTCATCTATACTAATAATAAAAAATTGTTGTCTTGAATTTTCTAAAAATGTTTGTTAATATTAATGTTATTATTTCATATACTTTGATATAGGTAATATTAATCTTACAATTTGAAAACAGTTCCAAATGATTCGCCAATTATATTCATATCATGACAACTGGTGGTAAAATCGTAAACGAATTAAACGAAATGAAACACAAACTAAATTTTCTCAACGAGAACTATTTGTAATCGGAAATTTAAATCATCTCTCTCTATCTCTATATATGTGTGTGTTTTTATATATAAGTATAAATTAATGTTTCTTTCTGTTTCTTTGCCTTCTATAGATTCGAAAACTTTATTGGACCGTTTAAAATAAAAGTTATTTCAATATAGATTCCTCGAGACCAGAAAAGAGTTTTTAACATCGTTTTCAATCCGTATAAATTGTGATTTTAATCGCTCACTTATGAATTATTCGGTTTTTACTCATGAAAATCGAATATCTTTCTGTTTTTCATATCATAAACGATTGTTAACGGTTACATATAATAAATTTGTTATCGCGATTTATTTGATCCGTATTTTTTATCTTATTTTATCATTTACGTTATGTGAAATCGAATAACGGTCATATAATAATATGATAATACATGTAAGAAGGGGGAAAATTGTGTATAATATAGTCGAGATAGGTGCTTTAAATATTGAAAAAAATGCTCGATTTTCGAGCGAACATTCCGTCTCGTGAGTTTTATTCGTCTCCAGGCACTAAAGCAAGTAAAAAAAAAAAAAAATTAAAAAAAAAAATATAAAACAAAAAACAGACGTTGTTTTGTGTGTATCTCGTTGTTTCGGCTCGGCTTTGAAGTGCTCTGGGTGCAGAGTCATTATTATAATAATATGTCGTATTGTTCGTGCGATATTTTCTATCGCGTACAATGAACAGCACACACGTTATATATCGGTGCAATACGCATTCACCTGCGTCGTGCACCTCGGGCCCAAAAAGTACGAATTCGCTTTTCGCGCACGTGTACACGGGGTACGCACGACGGTGATTTACCGTCGACGTCACGGGCGGCGTGTAAGGGCGCGCCTAGCAGCCAAAGTCCATCGGTTTACTCGCTCTCGGCCGACGGGCGACGACCGCGCGGCAGTCACGCATTGTTGCGCTTTGCCGTTGTTGTTCACCGTTCGCGCGACTGCGTTCGTTGTCGAAAGTCGTTTTCGTTTTCGAAATTCAATTTTCCCCTGCCGCGGTCGGCACACTGCACTGTCAATAGTAGTTTTCCATTCGACATAAGCGCGTTCGGTTTTAAACGAGAGGTAATTCACATTTTCTTGTCCGAATTTTTGTACGGATGTCGTTGGTCTTAATCCATCGCGATTGTCACGTTGCTGACGACACGATGTAGAATTATAATTGGAGAGCTGGTCGATGATAATAAGTCGATTGTACACGTCGAATAGCACACATACCTATCTATACTTACTATATTATAATGTACTGTAACATTTTATGAATACTTACGTCATACACGTTCGTACCTGTTGATTAAATATTTAACATAGGTATATAAGTATAATTAAACAATTTGAAACCAAAGTAATTTTAAATTTATTTTTTTAAATAAGGTTCTAAAAAAGTTTGAAAATACAGTTAAGTATTTTACTGTATTAAAATTTAATATTTATTTTTGTGATATAAACAAAATATAAGAACTGCTATATATTATAAATATTCATTTTAATCTTGATTAAAAAAAAATTAATATCGATCATAATATCATGATTTTTTCAACTTATTAAATTTTTAACTTAAATATGATCTCGAAAATATCTCGAATATTCTTAAAATTGATTTATTGTTATACAATTTCGGGATTAATAAAAATTTATAATCGGTTGTTAGTATATAATTTATCATAATTTTAATATTAGTTATTGATCTATACCATTAATGGAAGGTTTTCCAAGCAGTCCAAACTAACAGTTACTTATAGAATATCAAATATATTTGATTTCTATTTTATAATTACAAAAGAATATAAACTAAAAATTTTTTTTTTTTAAATGTAAAAAAATTTAATAGAAAACTAAAAAAAATAGAAATTAGAACCTTAAATGAATAAAGAAAATATAAATAAATAGCCAACATTTCCAACACCAAACTGGCTATTTGCCACGTTAAGTGACTTGTTACTCTAACACATTGTAACGAGTAACTTATTTAACTTTAAAAAGTAAGATGGATCAAATTATTAAAATATTTTTATTTTTTTCAGTAATAAAGCTATAATTCATTAACGTCCGTCAGATGCAAGAAGGCTGTTCTTGCACACATATATAGATAAGAAAAAGAAAGTATGGGCAAAAGGAACTCAAAACTGAAACAAGATACAATCGACAAATTAATAGAAGACACGTATTGTAAGTTTTTAAAAAAATATTATACGTTATAATACAATTTTAGACTTAAAGGTATGATAACTAGTTATGGTTAAATTGAAAATTAAATAAAACGAATATTTTATGTAGCTAGTTAATTCATTTTTAATCATTACTTAATAATTGAGTATTTACTTAAAAATATAGTTTTTCAATTAATTTTAAAAATATTAGAAGTTAAAATTTTTTATTTATTAACACATATGTACTTAAAATAAATGCTAACTAAATAGTTATTTTTTAAATTTAATTTACTGACTACAATAGTTTTGAATAAAAATGAACAAAAATAAACATATAAGTAAATATTTCACATGATTTAATAACTTAGTTGCAAACGTGTAATTTTCTAAGCTTAGGTAATATAGTATATTATAGAATAAAAAAAAAAAAATAAAATAATTTTTAGAGTTTAATAAAGTTGTTAGTTTATTTTATTAGATTATAAATTAACTCGAGTATATTTTTTCATTAACTAGCGTATATTAGACATTTTGCTTGGTATTTTTAATGATAACATATTTTACAATAGTAGCTGATATCTATGCAAACATATGATTTACATTTTTAATTTATTGTTGGTTTATGCATTTTTTAATGTTTTAAAACATAGTTACTTAAATATACTATAAACTGTAACATAGCTCTTAAAATTAGAATTTTTTTTACTTATTATAGCCAATTATTTATATATTATACTTATAGTATATTATTTATAGATAAAAATTAATTTTAGATGCAATTATCAATTTATAATTGGTTGCATAATTATTTCAAAAATACATATTTAAAACTTTAATAATTATAACATGGATCTAAGTATTATGTTTTATTGTTGACTTTTAAGGATCGTTTACATCTTCACTGAAATCCAACAACTAGTATTCCTGTAGACGAATTTAAATCATCTTTTATAGATTTAAGATATAATTATATAAATATTTTAGCATGAATTAAATATCACAGAGATTTAAGATTTGTTAGCTCATAAAGTATGTATTAAATATATCAGTGTACTTTACAAAAAGGATGCATCATTTAAAAAAAAAAAAAACATTTCCTTGTGTGAAAGATATTTCTAAAGTTGACGGTTTCATTATTAAATTTTGAGCAATGTCACTGATGATTTTATTTAAACCTGTATGATTATAGAAATTTATGAAAAATATTAAGAGTATAGTGCAAGTTTTATCAGAAAATATTTGTATTTATAGTTTATGAGTCTTTGTTACTTTAAAATGACATTTGTATACAATTAGAAATGTATTAATTAAAAAAAAAAAGGTCAGTTTTCTTGTTTAAAAATAGTAAATTGATTGCTGTTATACACTTATCTTATCTAATAATAATTATTATTATTCATTTTACGTTATTTCAGTAGGTATTTATTGGTAATAAGTTAATATGAATACATTGAGTGTATCTATGTACTAATTTTACCAATATAGAATGGTTATTGTTATTGATTGTTTAAGTCGTGGAAAACTGACTTGCATGACGCACTAACATCAATATGCGCCAACATTCTATAAAAATTAAACCGTTTTAAAAATTATAAATTATTATCAAAACACTCACGTGAAATGTTTCATGTAAAAAAAACATAAGTATGATAATATTATGTTTATAATTTCGTGTATCCGATTAAGTTCTTGCATAAAAAATGAGATCTCTTGTTATTGTTAATTTATTGGCAAAAAAAAAAAAAATTAGTGAGTGTTTGAGTGTGTATGTATGAGAATGTACGTAATAATATTATTAGGCGGGTGTTGAATTTGATTTCGTATTTGAAACTGTCTCAAGAGAGTTAAGTTTTGTCACCAATATTCGTGAATAGGTTTCCGTATAATAAATTTCCGTCACTGCCTTGATGACATGAGAAAGTTAAATCAATTTATACTTTTTTCTAACCACTATTGTATTTTGCTCAAATAACCCGATGATGAAAACTTTTATTGTTTTATCGAACGATGAGGTGATTTTATATCTTTGATTTTGATTATTCTTTACACATTGTATTCAGTAAATCAATTACTGGGTTATAGGTAGATACACGTTCTTTGTAAGATAATAAAATGTTATTCCCTTCTTTCATCAGTGAACTAATCTACCTTAAAAATTTAATTTAATAATCATAATAAAATATTTATCTAGGTATAAGATTTCAAGAGGTAATAATTGTGAAGAAAAATATTAAATTTAATATTTTTTTTTAACAATAATGACACTTATATTCAGTATTACGCATAAGTGTAAAAAATGTAAAAATTTATGTGAGTTTTTACTAATTTTTTTTTCTTCAGCTGATTTTTCATGAATAATATAAAAATATAATAACAATAATAAATTGAATGTAAATATACTTGACATTAAAGTTGTATACAAGTATTAGAGCAAAGTATAATTTTAAGTGGTTATGAATAATTTTAAGTTCTTCCATGTGTAAAATACGAGTGATATATTGTATTATTGACAATGTACTAAGTATAAGGTCTATAGTTATTTTTCTCCTTAATCTTTTATTCGTCTGATGTGCAACCTACGGACAATAAATAATTGTAAATTTAAGCATTTAAGTTCAAATAAAAGTGGTTGAGTGCCTGAGAATATCTTTGAGATCTTGATATTGTATCTCTACCATTCCATTCATACAAACTTTAAATACTTATTAATACGAAATAAACGTGGTATATATATATATATAGGTATTTATACAATTTTAGATATTTGAATACCAACTTTATCAAGTAAAGTAAATACATTTTGGTTAAAAAAAAAAAAATAACAAAACATTTAAACATTGTAATTCTCGTAATATTCCTGTGTTCAATTATATCGACCAAGAAAACTAATGTATATTGATGTATACTGTCTAAAATAAACAATAAATTAATGACTATATAGTTTAGATAAGAAAAAATAAAAAACACCACGTCGGAAAATGAATTAAATACTATTATCAACGGAACGTCGATTATTTAATATGTCGTTTTCATTGGTTAGTATTATTATAATATATTATAATTTTAATATGATCAGGACGTTAGATTAGTGCTAGACAATAATGATATTTGGTGCAAAAATATGCTGGCTAATAGCCGTTAACGACTGTCGTGCTAGTTGTGAACTATATGGCATAGACAGATATAAAAATAATATGACCATAATATTATGGTTAGTTGGTAAGTAAAATTATTTTATACAATAGTAATGCACCGGACAAAAGGACCGACAACTACAAGACGACTTGGTGATATAAATATTACGTAGGTACTTACCTGTCCTGCTAACCAATAGTGGCGGTGAATAGCGTGCGGTCGAGTTTCCGCCGTCTCATCCATTATTCGACGTATATGCGTATCATAATTTATCAACGCTCGTTATGGACGGTTCTGACCTATATATCACGGACCGGACGATTTCTAGAATACGCACTTAGGGTGTGGGAGGGGGGGGCTCGCGATGGAATTTCGTTTCTAGTATTATAATATTGTACAAAAGCGATACGAACCTTTATTAAAGGTATAATATAATACGTATTAAAATGCATATAAAGAGCTATTATATAATAACAACTACTAATCTTTGATAGTATAAACGTAATAATTCGACTTAAATTTTTAAAATACGCATCTAACTTGCAAGGGTGTTATCGAAAACAACGAGATGAACGTAAGTAATAATGTAGAGATGTATACTGTTGTAATAAAAATAATTAAAAATATAATGTGAACCAAAATTTGTCCTAACTTTTGTTTTAATCAATTTAATATTATTATATAATTAGGTTTTTAATTTAATTATAGAATATAAAAGATATTAAGTATACGGTTATACATATTTTTACACAATAATTGATTTATTACATAGTTTATCAGTTTTTTTTTTTTTATTAAACTCTGTATATTAAAGCATGCAAAGTTCAAAGGATGTGTAAAATTTGTTATATAATTTGTACTGTTATTATTATTTGATATGGGTTCTTAAGTCATTCATTGTTTTTAATCTTCAACATTATAATAATTTTTATTAGATACGTGTGCATTTTCATATTGTGACCATTATTGTTTATTATGTATTTATATAAAATGTTTGTATAATAAAAACCAACATGAGGTATTAAATTATATTTAATGCTAAAGACCCATGCATTCAAATTAATTCATAATTTTTCAAGTGTTTAATATCATTATATTTTAAGAAGTGCTAGGTGCTACATTTCTTCATGCAAATAGTAAGTCAAATATTTTTCTACTTTTAGTGTGTAATTTTTGTAGTTTTTTATTACTGTATGTATTTATAAATTTAATAAATTGGGTAGACCAGTTTATAATTTATGCAAAATGAGCTAAGTAGCAGTTAACATTTTTAAAAAGTTTTTTCCTTATAAACATAAAATGATACTAAAACTTCCTTAAAATTTATAGATATACCTAACAGTCATCGGATGAAAAACTTTTTATTTTTAAAATATGAATTCGACTTTCTCTAATTTAAACTTTTCAATGACTTCATAGAGATGAAAACTTCTGTTTTAACAAATCCAATTACCAAATTATGTTTCATGTTTTATACATATTATATAAGCACAAACTGTTATTTATAGTATTTGTTATGATTATGGTGTGAAATTTCGTTAAGTTTAGAGGCTTAATGTTTAAAGCAATTAATATTACAGTGTTGAATATTCGAATAATACAATAATATAATTAATATGATTTATCTTTACATGATTAATATTTTTTAATATCAAACGTATTTCGTGTCTTCAAACATTTTTATTAAATTTATAAAGATAACTTAATGTGTATTATTATATAATTTATAAAGGAATTGATTTATTAATTTTTAGTTATTAAAAATTTGATTTTAATTTTATACTTAAAAATACATTAAAAAAGGTATTTAAAAAGATTTTTAATTAATTTTTTTTTTTTTTTTTACTAAAAAAAAGTACATTATGAATTGTCAATAGACGCACT